TTGGAAACTGCCGTTCGTATGGGTCTACCGGCTTAGACTGACCACGTGCTGGTTTACGCTAAGTTGTCTAACCGATTTAGTGACTGCACATGAAAGAGATCGAAATAGCGTTTTTTATTACACATTTCGTGTGATAAACAGCAGACGGAGCAAACCCCATAGTCGTATAGACCAGCTATTCAGTGATGAAAATCGGCAACTTAAACCCCTGGACGAATCACGCAGCCATGCTGCTTGGATACCAAAACGCGTAAGTTGCGTGTTTTGCTACCACACCATCGAGCAGTTAAGAACAATGTCGGACAACAATTTATGATTGATTGCCTTCAGCTGGTTGAGGCATTTGCGGTCTAACCCACCGAGCTGTAAGATAATGGGTTCCCCTGGTTCTCTCAGGTTTCTTCACTCGCGTCGGGTAATCCCGGCAGGCGGTGCCTCTCGTGGAAGCGCAAACTCAGAAGTAGCTTGAGAGAAGACAGCGAAGCATGATGTGCAAAAGAGAGGAATCAGCTGATACATCTGGAACATCTGGCAGCTGTTCCAACTATTCTATGCTACTGGTCGCAAAGCACAGTGTTTAGCAAAATATGTAGACAACAATTCATTGCAGAATGCTCATTGAAACTTGAAATGCTTATAGCTCAGTTCAATCAACCATCTGCTGGCTATCCCAAGTAGGTCTTTTTTTAAAAGTGGTGGAGAAATTCCTTTAAGAGATTGTTTCTATAAGATCGGGCAGGAGGGAACCCTACCTCAAGCAGAGGAAATCCATTGTTACACCTTTTTCAAGGACGGTGGCACTGTTTGTTCCAACCTCAGTATGAGTCTCATTCTATCAGCGTCCGTTTTACTACACAAATTGGTTTTCATTCGCGAATCTACAAATAGAGAACCGGGTTTCTTACCAGCCATCGTTGCATAACTAAGGCAAACCGATGTCGTGTTCCTGAATATCAGAGCGGCCTTTGAATCCGTCAACCGGCTTGTCATTTGCAGTTGTTTCCTGACGTTTGAATACATGGTCGTCCTGTCCCTCTGTTTCTCTTGAACTTCTTCAAATATGATGTCCTTCATAAAGCATTTTTTAACATCATCATCGTACAGCGAGATACAGTGAAGCGAACTTCACTGATCGCTGCCAAGCTCCCGATGTCCACAAATTAAGTGATAAAGTACAGGATGTAGAAAAGTCGAGTTTAACTGGAGAGAGACAAAGAAAGTGAACCTCTGTGGCCAACACAGAGTACACAATCTAGCTGTACATACATGCCGTCTCAAGCATTCTGACCTGATGAGAAATGACAACAAAAACGCCACTGCTCTCGGTTGGTTGCCTTATCCTTCAGTGTCTCCGACCAACCAGTTGCAGAGTCTTTTGAACCCCACCCTAGAAGACAGGAGACACCTATTCTACCTAATCACTCTGTACATTTCTTCATGCCCCTTTTCCATGTCCTTTGTTGACCTCCACGTGGTTTCTTGCAACATGGAGTCGCGACTGCGAATAAGGCGCGGTGCGGTAGACGATAGCTGGGCATGCGTGATATATGTCCTAACCAGCGAAGCCGACTAGTCTGAATTCAATGGAACAATGATTTCTCCATCTAATCATTACCAAATACGCGACGCCTTACCTCAGAGTTACGTACACGCTCGCTCCATCCAACCCGTGTCAAACTACGTAAACATCGGCATTCTAAGGTATCTAGACAACGAATATCCTCCACGCGCAAAGTTANNNTCCAACGAAACAACGTGTCTGCACCAAAGGTGTTTCAGTCCTACGTAAGCTGCTCGTTCGTGTCTTTGAAATGCGGGCGGTTATTTCCTTGACCTTGCTACCGTTATTTGTCACGCAGCTACCTAAGTAGGAGAAACATTCCACCAAAGCTAATCCTTGATCATCAAGCAT